CCGGCTGCTCTTCCGAGAACTTCAGAGGCTGCTCCCTAGGGAGAGGGCATGAGGGCACTGAGCTCTTCAGTCCTAATCTTAATCTCCTGCCCCACTTGCAAAGCCCTTCATAAGCTTCCTTGATTGCGTCTCTTCCCCAGACCTGTGCCATAGCAGCTCCCGGGGAGGATGCTGGAGTGTGGAGTGCCTGGCCCCAACATCCTTTTTTCAATTTTTTCTTTCTTTTTAAAAAAACTTTATGTGTATGAGTGTTTTACTTGCAAGTATGTCTATACACCACATGCATGCCTGCTAACACAGAGGCCTGAAGAGGGCATCAGCTTCCCTGGAACTGGACGATACAGATGCCTGTAGCTGCCATGTGGGGGCTGGGAACTGAACCAGGGTCCCCTGGAGCCAGTGTTCTAACGACTGAGAAATAGCTCCAGCCCTCGACCATCTTTTTTTTTTTTTTGGTTGTTATTTTGAGACAAGGTTTGCTATGTAGCCCAGGCTAGACCGCCACTGACAATCTTCTTGCCTCGGTCTCCTAAGCGCCATGGTTTAAAGTGTGCACCATTCTGCCCTCCCCACCTCCTATTATCCCATCTAGAGAGAGCGTCTTTGGCTCACACACTTGCTGTGCTGGCTAAGCGAGAGGTGCCTCTGTTCAGCAGAACACAGCCCCTTAAATAGGTCCTGCTGTCCCTGCCCTCTGAGGCAGCCTGCAGGGATGAACTCACACACATATGCCTGAGTCAGGGGCACCTCAGAGTGACTGCTCAGGATCCCGATGGCCCCCTGACTTTATAATTTAGCAAGTCACCCTTTTCTGGTTTATCTATATTCCAGGAGACAGGAATGACTGCCTCAGAGTCTGCCTGCAGGGCATGGTGGTGCAGACCTGTAATCCCAGCATTCAGGAGGCTGAGGCAGACGGACTCAGGCATCCAGACCCAGCTTGGCCTATGCGGTGAGACCTTGTCTCCAACTGGACTTTCTAAAAGCAAGGATCCCGGTAGAGTCCTCGGCTTCCTCCACAGCACAAAGATGTGCCTGCCATAGATGGTTAATAAATGAGGCTTCCACCAGTCTCTCCTGAACTCTGGGGACATCGAAGGCCTTGTTACACCCCATCCGTCTGGATGGGGGGGGAGGGGGGCATTCCCCTGCCTCTTTCAGCTGATAACGCACGATGATGCGGCCCCTATCACGTGGTTCTTTTAAGTAGAGACAAACCCGAGGTGGGAAACTGAGGCAAAGGAAGATGGCTTGAGTTACAGAGCTCCCGGCTCTGATGCCAGCCATAGACACCTCTTTTCAATAATGAGGGAGACCTTGGTTTCCAAAGGGCTTTGGCCTTCTCTCTTAGTTTTTAGTTTATTTTTTTAAATTTTGAGACAAGGCTCACTGTGTAGCGGAGGCTGGCCTAGCATCTGGAGTGCTGGGATTACAAGCATTTACCACTGTGTTTGACCTTCAGCCTCCTTCCTGACTCCTCTAGACTTGCTCAGCTTGCTTTCCTGTAGAACCCAGGACCACTAACTCAATGGTGGCCCTGCCCACAATGGGCTGGACCTTCCCTATCATTCACTGATTAAGAAAATGCCCTACAGGCTTGCCTACAGCCTGATTTTATGGAGGCATTTTCTTAACTTAGGCTCCCTCCTCTCAGACGACTTTAGCTTGTGCCAAGTTGATATAAAACCAGCCAGCGTACCATGTATGGGACTCTTGCTGTGTCTTCGTGTGACAGAAAAGCTGAAGGGGCTAGGACACGCCCACCAACCCCTTCATCAGGGTCTAATCCAGTTGTAAAGTTCCCAGCTCTTGACTCAGTTGCTTTAGGGGTTAAGTGTCAGCATGTGCGGGCTCTGGAGACATCAGTGGGTAAATTGCGTGATGAGTGAACAGGAGGCCCTGAGCGGGGCACGTGCCTCTAATTCCAGCCTGGGGAGGCAGACACAGGAGAAACCTGAGGTCTCGCTGGCCAGCCAGTCTAGCCAATCAGCGAGCTCCAGGTTCAATGAGCTGCTCCAAGAAATTTAGGTAAGGAGTGATTGAAGAAGACACCCCATGCTGACTTCTGGGCTTTTCCACGTTTGCATGTGCCCACTTACACATGTATGCACTCACACACACCACACACACACACACCACACACACCACACATGCATACACACACGCACAGACACACGCACTCACACATACCACACATGCATGCACACACGTGACACACACACATTTTGGGGGGGGGGCACCAACATTCAGACTACAGCCAGCTGTCTTGCAGAATGGTTGCGAGACAAAATTGTGATCAAAATGTAAGAAATGAATAACTCCGAATCTCACTTCAATTTCCATCTTTTTCCTCTTTCTTTTCCCCCTTTTATTTGTCCTTTATTTTCTTGGATTTATGACCAAACCAAGGGCTACTGACACCTCTATCAACAGCTCAATCTTTTTTATTTTCACTTTTCCAGAGAGCAACCGTCCATGCCGATGGCACCAGTCTGGCGCCTAGTTGCCTCCTCCCTCCTGGTCCACGGAGATTCAGAATCTACAGAAGTCTCTTTCTGGGCTCTGTGGCTCTCCCAGTCTGGTTAATTCCGGCTGCTGCCCTCCCTTGTGCACACCAGTCAAAGTTTCCTGGGCTTTTCCCTCCTTACGGGGGAAAGAAAAGTGGACGATGCAGCAGAGTGGCTGAGTGTGTGGGCTGGGGCCTCCGAGTTCTGATTTTCAACACAGCCAGGATTGGAAGGAAACAGGACTCTGTCTCTCTGGTCATGGCTGTCTCCGTTTCTGCTCCACTCTCTGGAAGGTGGAGGAAGGAGTGGTGGCATCAGGTTGACCCTGACCCAGGAGGAACACAGAAGGACCTGGCCGTTCAGAAACTTGCTGCAAGTTAGCCTTATTTCGGGCAGAAACCCAGGCAAGCCCTGTCTGTTCTCAGAGCTAAGCGCTTGGAGGCTGAAGGTTTTAGTCACCCCAGCCTTGCCATCTTGTCATGGGGTGGGTGGTGGAGGGTGGTAAGTTGAGGCTGTGAAAGGAGACACTGTTACTTCAGTTTGCTTGAGGGGAAATCTCACAAGAGTTTGTTACAAATAAATATAAATGCTTGGGCCTGCAAGATGGTTCAGCTGGATCAAAGCTTTTGCTGCTATGCCCGACGACCTGAGTTTGATCCCCAGAACCACATGGTTGAAGGTGAGGACTGACTCCCACATGGCACACACACATGCACTCTGGGCCTCTTGACTCAGCAAGGTCTGGGGAGCTCTCGCCAACCTTGCTCTCACTCGGAGCGGGGAGCTGCTGTTCCCTCCCACACATTCCCCGCCATGCAGAGCATTTCCTCTGAATCCATGAATCTGAAATCCCCCCTCCCCCACCCTCTCTCTTGTTTTTTGTTTTTCAAGACAGGGATTTTCTGTGGCTTTGGAGCCTGTCCTGGAACTAGCTCTTGTAGACCAGGCTGGCTTCGAACTCACAGAGGTCCGCCTGCCTCTGCCTCCTGAGTGCTGGGATTAAAGAGCCACCACACCCAATTAAATTGAACTTCTGATCCTCCTGCCTCTTCTACACGCAGGGATCACAGGTGTGCGCCACCGTGCTCTGTTTGTGGGTGCTAGGGGCTCATGGGTGTTAAGTAAGCAGGCTATCAACTTAGCTGTATCCCCAAGTTTTGATGTGGTTGGTAGGGTGTGTGTGTTGAATGTGCACGCGTGCGTGAGCGTGCCCCACCCACGTGTGTACAGAACACAGAGGATGACATCAACCTTCCTGCTCTGTCACTGTCACTCCCTTGAGATAGAGTCCGTCATTGAACCTGGAGCTCGGCTAGCAGCCTGAAAGTCCCAGGGATCCTTTTGTGTTTCCCTTGCCTGAGGCTGGGTTATAGGTGCACTGTTTTTTTCCCAGTGGGTGTGGGGATTTGAACTCAGGTTTTCAGGTTTGTGCAGCAAATACTCTCACCTGCTGAGCTGTCTGGATCGCTAACTCCCAGAGTCCAAGTTTTGAGAGGAGGGAAACTCACTTCTCTGAGCCACGTTTTCCTCCTTGAGAAAGAAGGGCACCACTACGTATAGCGGAAGGGTAAGCGACCTAGGAATCCACTAAGTGGCACAGTTGGAGTCTAACCTTTCTCTTTCTCACAGCTGCTGCCACAGTGCATCCTCCTCATCCACGGTTTTGCCTTTTCTGGTTTCATTCAGTTACTTTTAGTCAACATCACACGGAAATTTCCAGAAATAACTCATAAGTTTAAAACCTTTCCCCCTTTCTTTCATTTTTTTTTTTTTTTTTGATTTTTCGAGACAGGGTTTCTCCGTAGCTTTTGGTTCCTGTCCTGGAACTAGCTCTTGTAGACCAGGCTGGCCTCGAACTCACAGAGATCCGCCTGCCTCTGCCTCCCGAGTGCTGGGATTAAAGGCGTGCGCCACCACCGCCCGGCCTTTCTTTCATTTTTATTTTACGTGTATGGATGCTTCGCCTGCATGCTGGTCTGTGCTCCACCTGCATGCAGTACCCACCGAGTTCAGGGGAGGGCGCTAGATCCCTGGAGACAGGAGTTATAGACGGCTTTGAGCCACCTTGTGGGTGCTGGGAATCGGACCTGGGTCCTCTGAAAGAGCACCCAGTGCTCTTAGCCACCGAGCCACGACGCCAACCCCATAATCTATAAGTTTTATGTTACTCTGTATCCCAGTTGACGTAAGATGTCAAGCCAGAGACGTGCATCGTCGTGTGGTCCGGTGTATCCACTCTCTGTGGTACCCACCCACTGTGCTCCAGTCCCCTTCACTGTGCTTCCTATTGCTCTAGTGTAGTTGCTGTGGTTGTGAGTCTCTCCGTGAGCCTGCTTTACAAATTAAGCTTTATCACAAGTGTGTAGCACACCAGAGCGTCTGATAGCACCTGAGGTTTCAGGCATCTTCTGGATACGACACCGTCAACTTCACACTTGCAAAAGCAAGCAACTGCATTCCGAAGAGAAAAAATAGAAAGACAGAAGCATCTCATGATGTTTTAAGCAGGTTTACTATTTCATGTTGGGACGCAGTCCCAGCTTTCCTTGGCTGCACCCAGCTCGTGGGTTCCAGCTGGATAGGGGTCTGGGGTCTTGGACCCCCTCCCCGGAGGATAAGGTTGGGGAAATGCTGCGGTCACTTTTCTTTGTCTTTGCTTGTGAAGCAGGTGACTTGGGGACTCACCTTTCTCTAGGTGGGACAGGGCACAGCAGGCAGAGCTGGAGGCTTTCCAGGTTATAGGGCAGGGGAGGGTTCCCAGGAAAGCCAAGCTCACTCGAGACATGGAAGAACTTTGACATCCTGCCTTCTAGCAGGACCCAACCCAGCCATAGGCCTGGGATGCCAGGGGAGGAGTGTGTGTGGTGATCCCAGAGGGGCCCCCAGATCGGGGTACCACAGGCTCCTCCTTAGACACTCCTGCTTCTCCCTTGTTTTTTTGTTATGGTTGCCACATGCATAGCTCTGGGAGATGGCAGCCAGTTTATGGCCTTCCATAAAAGCATCTCCACACCTCTGGGTGCACTGACCAAGTCAGAACAGGCCCGCCGTTCTTTTTACTCATAAACAAAGGAGAGGCAGTTAACCTTTGGTCAGAGATACTGGGTCAGTGACCTCGGAGGGAGGTTAAATATTAATGATGTACAGATAAGAGCCCCACCTGTCACCCTGTGCCATTAAGGGAGTGAGGTGGGGAAGAGAAGGGGAAACAGGTGAGGACAGTGGAAGGCCACTGTGACGCAGATGGAGTTTGGTGTTGTGTCTCAGAAATTTGGGGCAAGAAGGTGATAGGGAGGGCACTTATCTCTCAGGAACGCTTTAAGGGGCCCTTTCTTCTCTGTGTTCGGTCAGGCTCAGCCCCCAAGAATTTCAACAGGGTAGAGAGCACCTGCTCGACACAAAAGGCCCTGTGTTTGAGGGCCAACTCCACGGCAGAGCCTTGGGTAGGCCCGGGTCTTGGGTTCCTCCTGGTAAGGCCTGTCTGAGATGGGAGTGGTCTAATGGGCATGGCTTCCTGTCAGCAGGGAGTAAAAGATGCTTCCTGTTCTTGGGTACAGGCACGGGATTAGGGGGCCAGGGTGGTGTTGTACCGCCATGGTATCGTGAGATGGGGCAGACAGGCCTGGGGCTCCCTCCATGCCAAGGAGGCCCTGTGATGGCCTCTGTCCAGACTGCTTCCACCTCCAACCTCAAAGAGAAGGCTCTGTGCCATCTGTTGCCTCTGGGCCTGTTTCCAGAAAGCCCTGTAGAGACTCCTCCTGTCTGCCCTAGATAGCCCAGTCCCTGCCTACGACAGGCTCTTTCCCACGAGAAGACGCCCATGAGCCGACACGAACGGGAGGAGGCCCTCCCTTGTGTTTTCAGATTAAAAAAAAAAAATCCTAGCAGAAGACAATGACTGTGTTTTGGGCCCTGCTACAAAGCACCTCCCAGACATTAATGCCATCCTCGGAAGGAGGACGTGATGATCCCTGTTTCATCGATGAGGAAGCTAAAATCTGAGCTAGCTAACCCACTTGTCATATAGTGGAGAGGCCGGAGTGTGAGCCCAGGCGTGCTGAGATTCTAAAGCCTCTGGGTTTCATGGTCCCATGTCCCGTTCAAATGCTTTTCTCTGGACCGCTACTTGCAGAAGAGTTTTGTGCGGCACCCCCTTCATCTTATGATGGACGATGGACTGACGGGCCATTCCAGAGTGAAGCCTCCCACAGAAGAGCAAAGAAGGGATCGGCGGCAGGGAGTGAGCCCTTAGCCACACTCTGCCCGGAAGTCTTGCCACAGTGCTGCCTCTGGCCTTGGTGGAAGTGCGGGCGTGCTGGGCCCCCTGGCTTCCAACCCAAGCTCTTTCAGAGAAGGTGGCTGTCTCACCCTTGGCTAAATTAGATTAGGGAGCTGGTCAGAAAGTAAGTGAAGATAGGCAGCCTCTGGCCCAATGGCCTAGGAGCTGAGGGACGGGGTGGCACGGGTCTCTAGGAAGGTCTCCTGCATTACAGCTCCCTCTGTCTTACCTGCTGGGCTCGGTGGCACAGGCCATTTGAATATGCTGCCCGCCTGTCGTCTCTCCCTTAGAGCCTTCACCGTACATTCGTGTTCCCACTTGGGGCCCAAATCTTCCTTTTGCTGGCTCTCACCAGGGTACCCACCTGGGGCTAGGCCTTAGAGCCTGTGGGTGTGGGGTTGTCAGCGGGGGTCAGGCAGGAGGGTGCCCAGGCCTGCTCGCTTTGATCTCCCTTCAGGATTCCCATTGCACAGTTAGGGCCAAGCCTTTGAAAAGAGAGTCCAGCTCTGTGGGCTGCTCCAGCTCAGACGCTGCAGCACTGGGCTCAGTCTCAGCCTCCAGACCTTCGTCCTTGGGACACACGAGGGAGTCCAGCAGGCCCCAGGGACTTGGTTCCTGGTCGGAGGGGGAACATGAGAGGGAATGGGTGTGCAAAGGGAGGGAGACAGGGTGGCCCTCGATCTGGACCGAGGACAGGAGGGATAATGCCCCCTTCAGGTACCCTTGTGTCTCTGGTTCATCACTGTGCAGTGCCTTAAAGTCAGGCCCTCTGCCTGTGCAAAACCCCAGAGGTGGGGGGAGTGATTTTGGTCTTTTTGCCTCCTTGTCAGCCAAGGAGGTGACTCCCTGCAGAGAAAGGTCCCCTGGGAGACAACTTTCAGCAAGTGTGTCTCCGTGGAGCTGACCTTTGGACTTGAGGTGTTTGGGACTGGAGAGGACCTCAGGAGTGGAGTCTTGGCCAGTGTCTTCGCCACACACAGCATAGGAAGCAGCCCAGCTATCCAGAACGCCCTGCGCATTATAGGTGGAAGGTTGGGTCTTCATCAGCTGCTGTGGTGAGTAGACCAGAGTTTTGGCATCAGAAGCTATCTGAGGTGCATAGGAAGGGGTCTGGACCTCGGTGACAGCCTTTGGGGCATAGGACGGTGGGGACAATGTCTGCTGAGGTGGCACGTTGGTGGGCCGGAGGATGGAGGCATCTGACTGTCCTATGTAGGTGACCTCAGGCAGGCTGTGCCGCTGTGTAGCTCCAGGCAGCTCCCTGGGCCCGGGGATCAACACTTGAGAGTACTGGATGGGCTGAGCATGACTTCCCGGGCCACGGAGGTCCAAGACAGGGACCAGCACGTGCTCCTGGATGAATCGTAGGGGCTGAAAGGTCAGGGCACGCTGGACGTTCTGCGGGAAGACAAGAATCCACCCTTTAGCACGTGTCCTGCTTTCTTTTTTTCTTTTGACATTGTACATGACGTGTGTGCTCATGGGTGCTTGAGTGCGTGTGCACGCACATGCGTGTGGAAGCCAGAGACCGACACCCAGTATCTTTGGTCATTCTTCGTCTTCTATATCAAGGCAGGATATTGATAATGAGCCCAGAGCTCACCAATGTGGCAGGTCTAACTAACCACCTTGATCTGAGAATCCCAGATCTTTGCCTCTAGGGCACTAGATTTATGGGTGGGCTGCCACACCTTCCAAGCACGTATGTGAATTTGGGGGTCCTAATTCTGATCTTCATGTTTACATGAAGCCATTCCTCCAGTTCCATGTTCTGTTTTGTGATATGGGTACACAAGGACCTCTGTGCAGGTTGTCACGGCACTGGGGGGGAGGTTCATTCAAGATGTATGTAACTCATCCCTGCCCACAGAGTTCCCTCCAAATGCACCCAGCATCTGAGACAGCTCATGCTAGAAAGGCTGACCTACAAAGAGCTTGAGTTTGAGGTGAACCTGGGCTCCATCGTGAGACCATGTTTTGAAAAACCAAGGCCTACAAGGAAATGGATGCTGTGGTCTGTACACCTGGTAGAGTAACTTAGGATCTCCTTGCTCCAGGTGATTGACAGCCCAGGAAGTAGATGGTCCAGATTTTGGGCTTCCTCAAGGTTGTGGCTTGCATGGCTATGAGGGATTGAGGTGGAAAAGGTTGGTGATGCGGGAAGGACCAGGACTGTGACACTATGCAAAATGCCATCTGAGCCCCCCAGATCTCGGAGAGTTGGCTCCAGAGTCACACTGAGCAGCCTGAGGCTGTGATGGTGACCTTGCTGCTAGAGCAGAGGCTGGGCCTACAGCCAGGTGGGACCGCTGATGGGATGTGTTGACTTCCTAGGGACTCAGTGCTAAAACTAGGCGTGAGTATTTGAAATTAGAGAGCTCATGTTACAATCTGAAGCCTGATTCTCATGAGAAAAAAAAAAAGTGGCAGTGGGTGGCCTTGCAGGGCAGACCTGGGGCTTTTTGTTTAGTTTTGAATTTTGTTGTTGTTGTTTTGAGACAGGGTCTCTCTATGCAGCCCTGGCTGACCTGGAACTTGCTATCTAGACCAGGCTGGCCTTGAACTCACAGAGATGCTCTTGCCTCTGTCTCTTGAGTGCTGGGATTAAGGATGTGTGCCACGGTGAGTGGCTGGTTTTGTTTTCTTGAGGCAGGGCTTTATGTAGCCCAGACTAGCTTTGAACTTGATCTATAGCCAAGGATGACCTAGCGTTCCTCCTGCTTCCCCTTCTGTGAGTGCTGGGATCACAGCGCTGGGAGTCAAACCCAGGGTCTGGTGCGTGCAGAGGCAGCACTCTGCTAACTGAGCCTGCATCCCCAGCCTCTGTTCCATGTTGTGAGACAGGCTCTCACTCACTCTGTAGCTAAGGAGGAGCTTAAAATCCCAATTCCCCTGCCTCCATCCTCTGAGTGCTGGGATAATCATCCCTCTGCCTGAGTTTTTGATTTATTTCTTTGCTTTTTTTGATCTTTTTCTTGGTTGGTGGTGAGGGAAGGTTTGTCAGATAAAGCCTCACTATGCACCTCAGTCTGACCTGGACCTTGAGATTCTTCTGTATCAGCAGTACCCGTAGTCCTGGGGTTACATGACCGTACGCACACACTGAACTTTGACTTTCAGTGTTCTGCAGCCTTACAGAGTCCCATTGCTCAGCCCCTGATGTTCCCCAGGACCTGCATTCCCATCTGGCCCTGATGCTTTCAAGCCACTGGGCACCCCTTTCCAATCCCACTGCACGGACTGTACACCTTCTTCACACACCCTGAACCTGCGGAACCCTCTTTATAACCCAACCTGCTTTGAGGCAGAACTTTGCACTGCTCAGGGGCCTCCCCTGTGCTCAGGGCCTTGGAGGGTCTCCCCAAGATACCCCTCTCTAGCCCCAGGTGGGAGACTCACCAGGGAGTTAGGAGGCACGGGTGGCTTGGTGACATATTTGTAGCCTAGATAGCAGAGCAAGCCGACAAGGAAACCCATGGAGAACAGCACGGCACCGGAGAAGGAGTAGGCCCACGTCCGGTCTGCAGAAGAGGACAGAGGAAGACTGGTGAGGCTTGGAGACCTCTGGGCTCCGTCCTGAGCAAAATCGATGTGACCCTCACAGTTAGGATGAGTTCTTCACCACCTTCAAGGGCAAAATGTCTTGCTAGGGATGTAGCTTGGTTGGTGGAGGGCTTGCCCAGCTCTCCCAAAGCCCGGGACACACTAGAGCACAACGGATGCCCTGGACACACTAGAGCACAGCGGACACCCTGGACACACTAGAGCACAGCAGACGCCCTGGACACACTAGAGCACAGCGGACGCCCTGGACACACTAGAGCACAGCGGACGCCCTGGACACACTAGAGCACAGCGGACGCCCTGGACACACTAGAGCACAGCGGACGCCCTGGACACACTAGAGCACAGCGGACGCCCTGGACACACTAGAGCACAGAGGACGCCCTGGACACACTAGAGCACAGCGGACGCCCTGGACACACTAGAGCACAGCGGACGCCCTGGACACACTAGAGCACAGCGGACGCCCTGGACACACTAGAGCACAGCGGACGCCCTGGACACACTAGAGCACAGCGGACGCCCTGGACACACTAGAGCACAGAGGACGCCCTGGACACACTAGAGCACAGCGGACGCCCTGGACACACTAGAGCACAGCGGACGCCCTGGACACACTAGAGCACAGCGGACGCCCTGGACACACTAGAGCACAGCGGACGCACTAGAGCACAGCGGACGCCCTGGATGAGCACTGTGTAAGCAGGGTGCAGGCCTGAAGTCTCAGCATCCGGGAGGCAGAAGTTGACCAGATGCTCAAGGCAACCCTCGAGTACAGGGTGAGCTCAAGGCTGTTTTGGCTACGTGAGACCCTGACTTAAAAACCAAAGTGAGATGTAGGGAAGGCCTCTCTTCAGGTCTCTTTCTTCAGTGTGGTTCCAACTCATACAGCCAGGGGCCTCAACTGCCCGCTGATGTCCCAGCCCACATGGCCACCTTGTTCAGACCTGCATCTAGACTCTTTCTGGTCACTCTCTGGACCAAGCGTCTGTATGGTAGCTGATATCTTCCTTCAGCAGGTGAGCCTGGTCAGGACGCAAGCTCTGTTATAGGCATGGGGACTTCCAAGTGTCTGCTATTCGGAGTGTGCTGTAGAAGGGTCTAGAACAGGGGTTCTCAACCCAGGGGTCACAAACAGGGATCAATGAAGACCATTATTTATATGACAATTCATAACAGTAGCAAAATTAGTTATGAAATAGCAGCAGAAATAATCATGGTTGGGGGTCACCTCGACATGAGGAGCTGTAATTAAGTGTCGTAGCATTGGGAAGGTTGAGAATCACTGATGGTCCAGATGGATCTGTCGCTGTTGCTAGGGGCTTCTTCATTGCGTGTGTCAGAGGAAGAGCTTCTAGAAGGAGGGCAGTGAGCGGGCAGGGTCCCACTGGCTGGGATCTGAGGGGGTCGGAGGGTAGATTGAGGAAAACCTGTCCCCTGTCTCTGGCATTGGCGGAGGACCCTGTGGGGCACTGAGCCTCTGAGAAGGGAGAGAGGGAGAGTACTGAGACTCTCTCCCTGTGCTGTCCTGTGGTCAGGCTGAGAGGCACTTGTGAAAAGCTGGGGAGGTAGAGGCTGGTGGAAGCTCCGGAGAACAGCTGTGTACATTATCTGGGGTCCTGGCCCCCCACATCGCCTCCTTTCCTTCATGCCCCATGCCCCCTGTGGCTCCAGCTGACTTCAGTGAGGGAGTCCATTACCAGATATTGTAGAGATCTCAGAACCTTGACTTCCAGCCTCCTCCAACCTGGGGCCTTGGGGGATCTGGGCCAACCTGAAGTCATGGGCTGGCCCCTGTCACTGCTACAGTGAATGACGTGAACACCTCTACACTGTGCCCAGTGTTCGTGGGAAGCCATCACAAGATGGGAACACGGACATCCTCAGCCTGATAGCTTCCATACGTCATTTCACCCATGTGGAGGCAGGGTGAGAAAATGGCAACCTAAAGATGAGGAGCAGGGACCTTAGGGGTCCGTTTTGCTATCAATGAGCTGAGCATCTTCCCTGCTGTGCAGCCCTCTCTGCTCCAGCATCTTTGTAACAAGCTGCCTGCACACCCAGGCTCTCCCAGCAAATCACCAAGACACACAGAAGGACGGGGATGCTCTCCTCTTCTAAGGCAACAAGGATGAGGCCTAGAGAGGTTCAGTGACCTGCCCAGGGTCAGACAGCTCCCTAGCGAAAGAGTACCAACTCCAGAGCACATCCCCTCAGACAATGTACAATTGTGCCTCATTTGTAAAATAAATGAAGTGAGACAACTTTGAGACCCCTTTACCCCACCGACATGCTGGGATAATATTCTGTAGCTCCCGGGCATCCTGAGGAATTAAAGAGGGGATTCTGGAATCTGGGGAGAGGCCAAACCTAGACTAGGGTCAAGGGAGGGATGGTTCACTCTGGAATGGAGATACGTAGCAAGCCTGTGGTGGAAGGAGCTAGCTGTACGCTAGATTGTAAGGTGGTGGTTAGCATCAGGCAAAGCTAACTGGGTTCACTGATCAGCTGTGTAGCCATGGATAAGTTACTTAACCTCTCTTAGCCAGAGTTCCTCCTGTATAAAATGAGGATTATCCTATCAACATTTTTTTTGGGGGGGGGTTGTTTTAAAAATTAAGTAATATATGCAATCATGAAGATGAAAGAATGTATAAAGCGTCTGGTATGTCGGCGACAGATTGTTTGTAATTGCTGGAAGGGTTTATACTATACTTTGTTCTTTAAGGAGCAAGCATCTTAGTTCCATTGGCAAAAAACACCCAAGAAAAGCAAGCTTCAGATGAAAGCAGTGTATACCTGTTATCTCAAGAGGCTGAGGCAGAGGATCAGGAGCTGGAGGCTAGCCTGGGCTACAGAGGGAGACGCTGTCTTAAAACATAACAAGAAAGCCAAATCTAAGCAAAACCTAGTGTGGCAATGCAAGCCAGCTCACGTGAGGTCAAGCCCACAGGGTGGTGGGTGAGGAGGGGCCCATCGGCTGTCCAGAAGCAGGGTGGGGTGGGGTGCCTGGGGATACGTGAAGCATATCCAGCGAGGTTGGGGTGAAGGTCAAAGATCACATTATACACGCCCCAGCTTGGCATCCACAGAGTGGTTTCTGTTCCTGGCCTCCTGCTTGCCAGGTTCTATTCTGGTACCCGGGTCCCTCACGAAGGAAGGGCATGCCCCGTGCCTTCGGCCAGGGCTGGCTGTCCTCCAGCTATGTCTCTTGCCAGATAATGCCCTGGGATTCAGGCAGAGAAGCCAGCGTCTTGCAGGTTCTGAAGGGCTGAGTTTCCGGACAAAGCTGAGGACCGGGACCATTTTTCACCCAGTGCCAGGCCCCGTTGTCCAGTTCCCAAACTGAGTTCTGAGGGAGACTATAGTTGGCGGAAGTCACCTGAACGTGATGGGTTCGGGCGGGCCCCCAGCCTCACAGTCAACCCCGCCCACTGACGTCACCGTCCTACTCTACCTGGCAGCTCGAAGCATCACGACTCTTACGTGCGTCTAGCCAAAGAGCAGATGCTCCGCAGTTTTTGTTAGCCTGCTTCCCATTGCTGGGGATGGAACCCCAAACTTGGCCTGTGCTCTGCTACTGAGCCGTAACCCGAGTCCTGAGAATGTGCGAGAGGAAGTGGGCGTGCCTCTGTTTCCCCAAGAAGAAACATGGCGGGTAGAACAGAGTCACTGGCTCTGGGCCTCATTTCCTCCTTTACTTCTTGTGTGACTTGGGGTAAATGATGTTACCATTCTCAACCTGTTCCTCTTCTGTAGAATGAAGGTGATTAAAGCATATCCTCCCCCCCCCCCCCCCCATCCCGCGCCCGGCCCCGACTGTGCAGAAGTCACAGTCCCTGGTCCGCTGAGCAGACATGCAAGCCATCATTATTGCCATTATAGTTCACCGGCTTGGAAGACACTGAGGATCAGTTTGTCCTTCCTGTCCCCACCCCTGCACACCTCCTCCCTGAGTGTATGTTCCTTGAGTTGATAATTTATATATGCTTTGCCAGAGTTTACACAAAGCTGGGCCAGGGAAAAGAAATCCAGGCGTTGGCTGAGGGCGGTGATTAAACATTCACTAAGTGGACCCATTAGACAGCCGGGCTGTGGATAAACAAAGATCAATCTTAGGACACCGCCAATCTCCAAGGGTTCTCAGAGCCCCGCCAAGCATCCCCTTGGTTACAAGGAGGAAGGAGGGGGGTTAAGCCGGACACTCGGGAATCCTCCCCCACGGCCTCAGTTGAACTCACCAGGCAATGTCTTCACTTCACACACGTAGGGGGCGCTTCTCTTGGACCACATCGGAGCCAAAACTGTGATGGACCCGAGGAACTCTGTGTCAGGAGTCAGGCCAAGGAACTCATATTCTCTCTGTTTGCCTTCAAGGTGCTGAAATGGACAGAGAACCCAGCGTGATTGTACACACACACACACACACACACACACACACACACACACACACACACCATGCGCGTGTGCACACACACACACGCCCCTCTTCATTCCTCTTCCTGACATTCAGATGACCCCATCAGCCAGCCTGACCAGGCAGCTCAGCTGGTGGCTCTTCATTCTGCTCCCCCATCGTCTTTTATCCTCAATTCAGTCCTCAAGCTCTCTAAACCTTCCTCCTAGCACCTGGTCTGTCACATCTCGGCAGCCTGCAGCTCTCAGCTGCTGTGGTGACAGGGTGATGGCCACCACCATCCCTGCCTCTCCCCTGCCACCTCTATCATCACCCCTGCCCTCCCCCCACTTTTATGTCCCCTACCCTTCTGCTCCTCCTGCCCTGCTCTCCCCAGCTGGGCTCTGCATTAGCCCCTGACTGCTCACTCATCTCTGGCTTGGTCCCCGTTCACTGGCACATTCTTCTTGGTGCCACCGTGATCTTTCTCCAGGGACTTGGCTGCTCAACCAACAACAGAAGGCAACATCCTGGTCAAACCTCACCTACAGCCCCTGGCTCAGGGCTCTGCCCTCCCCTCAGGGCCCCTCCTCTCTTCTCTCTCTGCTTTTTATTTTCTGTGTATGAGGAGCCTTCTCTGACATATGTTCCTGCCACCACCAATTCTGCCCAAGTACAGGGTGCCAGCCACCCCAGACCTAGTCCTCTGGAGCCGCGAGCCTCAGAGCAAATTCTTCCCTTTAAGCTCTCCGGTCAGGTGCTTTATCATGGCGATGAAAAGCAGTGAATAAAACGACCAAAATGGGAAAAAATAACTGTCTAAAGGTGCTGGAGAGCAGGCAACAGAGGGAGCGCTGGGAGATGAGGGAGGAATAATGGCGACCAAGTCTTTTATCCTGAAGGAAGATTCCACCCTACACTTTACAGGCGGCTGAAGCCTAGAGGCCATGTCATTTTGATGACTGGAACAACCAGAGGACAGAGTCTGGGGTGATCACAGTGGCTGGGAAATGAGGGGCAAACCAGAGACAGGAACACTGTGTGGAGGCGGCCCAGGTTCTCTGTATGAACTCAGCTCTATCTACCCCTGGATGCCTTCTCATACACACCGTGTGTGTGAGACAGCCTCCATGCCTCAATGAACGTAAAAGCCTGAAATGGAGACACCCGAGCATGAAGTCCAGCCGAGGAAAAGTCAAAACACCACAGAAAGTTGGGCGTGGTGGCAGTCGGGAGGCAGACATAGGAGAATTGCTGCCAGTTACAAAATAAGTTCCAGGTTAGCCTGGGCTATAGTGGGAGACTTACACACAAACAAACAAACAACAAACTCTCCAAAAGAACAAAGATGAATCTACACCTTTGGAGGTTATCACACAACCCAGAGTCCCTTCAACGTGGCATTCATAATATCCAGCACACATTACAAAACACCAATGAAAGCAAAACCTGTGACCCAGCATGACCAGAGCGTTGGGTGTCACATACAATAATTTTAAATCAGCTGTCAAATTGTGCTCAAGGTTGTAAAAAAAAAATAGGTTCATCATAAATGAGGGTGGGAGAGATGGCTCAGTAGGTAGAGGTGCTTGGTGCCAAAACTGGGGATCTGAGTTCAGTCCCTGGGACCCACATGGAGGAAGGAGAGAACCAATTCCTGCACATTGTCCTCTGACCTCCACACATGTGCTGTGACATATGCATGCCCCCACAGTGCACAATACACAAACCGCAGAAAGAATACTCTGTCGGAATAGTGTCTGTATAAATGCATTTTAAATATAAAAACACAGGTTAACGAAAAATGGTTATAGAAAGGCACGGGGACTGGTTCTATAGCTCAGACATTAAAAGCTAAGGTTCACAGTCAAAACTCTGAGAGTTCGGTTCCCAGCACCCATGTCAGAGCCCATCTCCCCAGCTTCTCTTTTGGGGCCTGGAGAGACGGCTCAGTGTTTAAGAGCACTCACTGATCTTGAAGAATCCAGGCTCAGTTCTCAGCACCCATATAATCGCTCACAACCACCCATAATTCCAGTTCCAGAGGACCTGATGCCCTCTTCTGACCTCTAGGGGCATCAAGCATGCACGTGATACACAAACATAAGTGCAGTCCAAACACTCATACATAGTAAATAAACCTTGAAATACATACGCATGTATATATCACACATATTATAAGGAAACTGGAGTGTTAATATCCATGTCAGAGGAAGTGGACTTCCTCAGGCGACAGAAAGGGGGAATTCTATCACGATTAGAAGCCAGTTTATCAGGAAGAAGTAATAACCATGCATGCATATGTTTAATAAGGGTTTCAAGATGCATGAGAGAAAGATACACAGAACTAAGGGGAAATAATAAACACACATCCCTAGCTGAGGAGTTAGTTCAATTAGTTAAAAGAACAACACAGCCGCCGCTCCTGTGCCCCCCCAACCCCTGTCGGAAGAGATACATACTGAGTGCTCCCTTAGCCTCCACTATCTAGTTGATGTTTGTTGAACACACTACCCTGCCCTTCCAAACACACTTATTTTCTTCAGAAGCCAAGCAGATGGCAGGCCATAAAATAAACCTTCATGAGCTTAAAAAGACTAATTCAGATAGAGCAGGCTCACGGACCGCAGGGCAAATTAAATTAGAAATCAGGAACCATAAAATCTTTAGTCCAACCCAAATATTTATCAGGAGCTATTTTGATGATGAGGTAATCTCCCGCTGTTCCCATGACAACTGTAGAATTCCTCTACCACCTGCACCCCACAGTCCCGACAGGCTCCTCCAGCTCATCTCCACAGTCCCTCCACACCCGAGGTCCTCATGTTTCGCAGCGAAGGAAGAGTCAGTCCCCTGTGGAATGGTCACTCCAATCCAGGTCTCAGCTAGGCAGCTGCAAACTGGGAGGGGCCCCTGATGGGTAATCTCATTAGCTTGATTGAATTGAGAGCCACTTAGGAGACTGCGAAGCTGTCTGGGTGTCTGTGAGGGTGTGTCAAGAGAAGATGGGTTGCTGGGGGTTCTGACCTAACAAATGGTTCCATTCCTTGATGGACGTGTAAGCTGATGGCTTCTCTAGAAAGTGGTGAGGGTTGGGGAGTGGTCTTCTGGAGGAAGTCACTGGATGTGTCCCTGAAGCCTGAGTCACGCCCTGGCCTCTTCCCGGGTCCCCTTTTTGTGATCTGCATTGCTCTGCTCTGCCGTGCCCCTCCCGCCTTGCCAGCCGACACCTCTGAGACTCCTTCTGTTCCTTAAGTTATGTCTGCCAGGGCCCCCAGGAGCTGCACTTTGAGTGATTACCCTGGGTGGTTCTGAAGCCACCGGTCCAAGGCAAGTGCCAGAAAACTGCCTCGTGGCTACACGCTCCAGCCAGAGAGGCTGGCTTTGTGCTTTGGAAAAACACTGTATGGGGTCTTGCTTCTCTTTCTGACCATGGTGCAACAACAAATGGAGGCTTCGCCCACAGCTGTGGAGCTGCTCAACCCTGACCAGCCAGTGGCTCGGCCTCTCTGAGCATGTGTCTTCCCATCTCAAAGATGGAGACGCTAGCTCCCACTCACGAAGCTATGATGAAGGTACATGACTTTCTTGCCTGCCTCAGAAAGTGGCATGGGCCACCCGAGAGTTTTCCACAGTCCCTTAGGTCGTGCCGAGCTGACGTGCAGCCCCGCCTGTTACAATTCTTGTCTTAACCCCTCCCCCACCCACTAGGTTATTCACTCTTTGAGGGATTTTTTTTTCCAGGACTGCAGAGGAGGAAATAAATGTTCACCCAACTGAGTCATGAATTAATGGCACACACTAGGAAGTGTACACGATCAGATCATTTGCATATTGTCTGCCAGTTGCCGGGCTGACCTGTCCTTAGGACCTGTCTTAAACCACTCCCTACACACGGTTTCCCCAAACCCTTCCAAGGATTTTAATTTCCTTTCTCTGTCTTTTTTAGACACAGTCTCACACAGGCCAGGCTGGTGTTGAGAACGGTCCTGAACTCCTCCTGATCCCCCTGCCTCCGCCTCTGAGCTGGATGACAAGTGTACACCACCACACTTTGTTTCTGTGGTTTGGGGAACCAAAACCAGAGCTTCGCACATGCTAGGCAAAGACTCCACCAACAAAGTTACGGCTGCTGCCCCACCACACCAACATTTTCTAAAGGGGGTGAATGACTGGGAGGTGGTGGCCACACCCTTAATCCCAGCGTTTGGGAGGCAGAGGCAGGCCTGGACTCCAGAGTGAGTTCCAGGACAGCCAGGGCTACGCAGAGAAAACCTGTCTCGAAAATCGAGAGAGTGAGAGCGAGCAAGCGAGGGAGGGAGGGGAGGGATAGTAATAGAAACATATTGTTCACTAGGATATTGAATGATATTAGGCAATATAATAAAAACAATGAAGTTTTCTGAACCAGGCCCAGGTACACATGCCTATAATACTAGTACTGAAGCAGGAGGATTGCTATGAGTTTGTGGTGAGCTCCAGACCATCTTGGATTACAGAGCGATACTCTGCCTCAAACAAACAAACAAACAACGAATACCAACCAATGTACAAAACAAACAAAACGAACCCTGTCCAATAAATATGAAAAGCTTGCCTGTTATAAAATTGAAGCCGTGGCTCAGCAGGACTTGTCAGAACCTTGAACGTGCTAAGGTACGTGTAAGCCCAGAGGCGGAGGTCACGGCTCATGACCCCACTAGAACTCTAGGAGCCTCCCAAGGAAGTGCCCTTTCATATAACGCATCACTTTTGTTGAAATCAGTCCAATATTCTTGCAAGGGGAGGGGGCTCCTGTGGAGGCACGGAGCATGACCTGTATTTACCATTTGGTAGGTGTGGTTGACGCGGAGTTCTAAGCTGTAGAACAGGTCGGGGAAAATCTCCTCCAGGGTTAGCCGGTGACCATCTTCCGAGAGGATGGGTGTGAAGGTGGGGTGGATCAGCATCTGAATAGACCTCACTTTGGGGATACAGGTCACGTCTGGTGGTCTGATGGTGGCTACGATGGGGAGAGAGAAAAGCTCAGAACGATTTGTGGAGCAGCAACTAACTCAGCGTGTGAAAAGAGAGGCCTTTGTATGGCTGGTGTCCAAGAGTGAGCCTGCCCAGGGGTGACAGAGAGTGGATGGGAGGTACCTGGTGGGAAGGTGCATCTTAGCCCTGGCATCCCCTGGGTGAGTGTGCCTGGAACACTCTTCCCCTTAGTCTGCTGCAAGGACGACTTTGGGAGCATCAATGACAGTCTGAATAATACCAGGCCCAATACTATTGCTTCTGCTCCCAAGAGTCACTCTCTCAAGATGGAATTTTCTAAAAAACAATGTGTGTGTGTGTGTGTGTGTGTGTGTGTGTGTGTGTAGGCCAGAGGAGGATATTGGGTTTATTCTATATGTGTGAATGTTGCCCTGCATGTTTGTACATATGATATGTGTGTACCTGGTGCCCAAGGAATTGAAGAGAGTTTCAGGTCCCCTGGAACTGAGTTCAGATGGTTGTGGGCTATGTGGATGCTGGGAATTGGACCTGGGTCCTCTGCAAGAGCAGCCAGTACTCTTAATTGCTGAGCTAGCTTGCCAGTCAGAACACTGGGAGGCTTGAGTTAGGTCCTCTCACTGATCTGGAAGCTCATCATTTCAGACTGGCTTGGCCCCTGAGCTCCTAGGATCTGCCTGTCTCCACACTGCAGGGATGCAGTCACAGGCAAGACACCAAGTACAACCATGCCTGGATGTTTTTATTTTTACATGGGTGCTGGGGATTCAAACTAAAGCCCTCATAGTTATATAACAAGAGCTGACTGAGCCATGTCGCCAGCCCCTGCGCACGCGCGCGCGCACACACACACACACACACACACACACATATATATAATTTGGTGATTGATTCAGCTCTATTCTCCATGAAAACGCAAGTACAAAAATTTTTCATCCAATTTCAGGAGTTCGTGCACCCCACTTGCCCTGAATCTAATTTGCAAAAGTCTAACAATGATTTGCTGTCCTCCAAGGTTTAGAACACCATAGTCAAAGAATGTTTGCTCCAGTGGAATTGACAAGCAGAACTAGAGCCGGCAAGATGGCTGCGCTGGGTAAAGGTGCTTGCCACCAAGTCTAATGATCTGAGTTCAGTCCCTGGGAACCACGTGATAGAACGAAAGAACAAACTCCTGGAAGTTGCCCTCTGACCTCCACACACACACTGACATACAGATGGACAGACACACACAGTCACACACACAGACACACAGATAGACAGACAAACACACACACAATATATATAATAAATGTGAAGAAGAAATCTTAAAAAAAGAAGAAAAATGGAGATCAATGTACTCAAAAAGAAAAGGGAATTGGGATTCCACCACCGAATAGGTTGTTCCATAGGTGTGGAAAAGAAACCAGGTTGAGTAAAATGTTTTCATAACATGGGCAAAGTTCAGGACACCACGATATGGAAAAAGGGACTTTCAAAAACAAGAACGTGACACCAGATCAGGAGGCTGAGGCAGAATCCCTCCCTCATCAGATGGGCCTATGTGAGTGTCTGTGGGGCATTTTCTTGACTGTAATTGATGTAGGAGGTCCAGCCCACTGTGGGTGGAGCCATCCCTAGTCAGACATGCCTGGGCTGTATGAGAAAATTAGCTGCACCTGAGCCTGAGAGCAAGCCGGACAGCAGCTTTCCTCCACGGTTTCTGCCTTGTGTCCTTCAGGGATGAACTGTGATCTGGATATGTGAGCCTTAGATAAGCCCTTGCCTCCCTTCCTGTTGGTGTTTACCACAGCAACGGCAAGCAAACTAGGACACTACTATTTTGAGATTAGCCTGAGCTACAAAGTGATGTCCAAGCCAGGTAGGGCTTCAGACTAAAAGCCTGTCCCAAAACACAGGGAATTGTGACTTTGTAAGTCAGTTGACGTCGCCACATGCTTCGTGTGCATAGGGTTTGGCACCTGGTATTCATTCATTTGTTCATTCATTCATTCATTCATTCAGTGGCTATATATGGAGCCTCTTCCATGTACCGTGCACTCCACTAATGGCATGGAACATAGTCGGTTCCAAAGACTGTCCTGGAGCACACGCCTTTGTCGAGGAGGTTAACAATACACATATAAGCCAACACAGTCTTTGCTAGTTGTGGCCTGAGCCGTGAAGACTACGTGAACAGTGCACAGGGTCTCTCAGTGTCTGTGGGGATTGGTTTTGAATTGCCTCATCAATGCATCAATCCATAGTTCTTAGTCCATTGCGTAGAGTGGCCCAGTAATGTGCTCAACCTAAATGCGTCCTCTGTCGACTGTTAACAGAAAATGGCAAATACTATGTAAACAAATGTGTGTCGCGAGAAGAATGTGGGCAGGCTATGCCGATGCAATATTTTTTCCAAATATTTTTCAGTTTCATTTGGTTGAATCAGAGGGTCACTGTGACGGGGAATAAGTAAAGATAAAGGATAAATAAAGATCTCAGCTGGCTTGGACCGGCTGAGATCAGGTGGCCAGGCTGGATGCAGGGACTCTCTTCGGAGCCTATGCTGAGTTAAGCCCCCAGACCCAGGGAGGAGTGGAGGCGCTGCAGCAGAAGCCAGCAGAGAATGAGACCCATTGAATATAGAGTTTCAATCGTGGGCTGGACAAAGGCAGGACTGGCGTGGCCAAGGGAGGAATTGAATCTTATCTAAGATTTACCAGCAAAGGAAGAAATGGAGGGCTTTACATCCTGAGAGGATGAGCAAGAGGTACCAGGAGAGTGGAGACGTGAATCAGGAGCCCCTGATGTGGTGGTGGGGCCTCCTCAAACCTAGGAAGTTCTGAGCAGAGGTAGAGAAACACCTCCTGGGTTGTGCCCTGGCCTGTGATAACCTCTGAAAGCCAGAGACTTGCTGGGTCCCCATCCACTCTCTTCACCCCAAAAGCTCTCCGTATCCTCCAGATGTGCAGGCTAGCCTGGCCCCTCCCCTAAGACATGCTTCTCCCCTTCCTGAAGTGAGCAGACACCCTCCCTTACTGTGTTGCTGTGGGCTGAAGCGGCCACTTCTCTCCTGTCCTTGATTTCCTGGGTTCTTAGCTGTGACATTGCCATAGTAAAATTCGGTGAGGTTGCCCGTCTCCAGAGTTAGGTTGCAGGACTTCCGGGTGATCAGTTGGCAGCCTGCCTTGGCCAGCCACTCATTCTCTCCATACCTGTATGTGAGGGCAGGCAGGGCACACAGTGAATGAATCGCTCCGCTAGGCCTGTGGTTTCATGATGATAAGGGCATCTGGTGTCTACCCAGCATCGAGGCCGTCTGTGTGGACACTGAGGTCAGCTCTCACAACAATGGTCCTTATAGGTAAGTGTGTGTGTTGCGCTCAAGAGAGGAAACTGTACTCGGAGGAGAAAGCCGTGGCAGTGTTTGAAGGGAACACGTGATGGCCAGACCGAACCCTGCCATCTTGAGTCCATATTCCGTGATCCTTGCCACCCGGCCCCTATTTCCAAACCTGTGAGCCCTAATTCACAGGCTCAGAGACAGAGGCTCAGAGACAGGGTGCGACTTGCCACATGTTGACGTGGCAGGGCCAAGAAAGGACCTGGGCCTTGTGAATGGGCTGAAGCTAGACCCAGGCAGGAGGCATGGGAGAAGCTTCTGAGGACCAAGACTCACCCATGACAACCAGTTATTAGATTAGAACTTCACCACACAGCGGGCATGCGTCCTGGTGATGTCATTACCCACCCTTAACAAATGCTAACTAAGGCTCCCCTGACTGCCCAAGGCTATGCGGTTGGAGCTGGTTCTCACAGGTGGAGAGTCTGACTCTACCGCCTGTACCTCTGATTGTATGTAAGGGAGCAGAGCTTGGTCTGTGTGGGGACATTTGGAGTTGGGGGTATCCTGGAGGTGCTGCAGAGCAGGGTCATGAGAGGGTCAGTTTGGATGAGATACCTGCCTCTTATACTTCACGCTGTAGACCGTGTCCAGGGTGCTGTTGGGTCCAGCCTCCCATATCAAGATGTTTTCAAAGTTGCTGGACCGGAATTTCACATTTCGAAGGAGACCAGACTTGTCAGCAGCAGTGTGAGCTGCAGGAGGCAGGAGCGGGGTGAGCCAGTGGGTTTGCAAACTGAGGACCCCTCCCCGCACCTTCATTCTCCAATGCTGCTCCCTGCTTTGTGAGCCACGGTTCACCCTCCACGACATCCGCCATTTAAGTGTTCGGGTCACTGTCTTCTAAGATCTCCCTGCGCAGCTGTCACGACTACCTAATTCTAGAACGTTTTCATTATCCACAAAAGAAACTACATCTTTGGTGGTTGCAGCCCCCCCCCCCCCCCAGTTCCTGGTAATCACAAATCTGTTTTATTTTTCTCAGGGCTTTCCAGTTCTGGATTTTCAAGTCCTTTACGCCCTGGCTTTTCCCCGTGTTTGGCTTCTTTCCCTTAGCAGGGCTGTCAAGTTTCATCCACAGCATGCATTAGTATTTGTCTATTTTTTATGATTGGATAATATTCCACTGTATGGATATATCATATTTTGTTTACCTATCACCGGTTGATGGACATTTGTATTTACAGTTTTTACATTTTTCCACTATTTTGAACAATGCTGATGTGACCATTTGCGCAAAAAAAAAAATAGGTGGACATGGGTTTCTAATTCCCTTGGGTGTGCGTGTAGAGTGGATACAATTTCATATATAATTCTCTTGGGTACATGTCTTGGTAGCTCTATCTTTAACTCTATTGATCAACCGATTGATCGATTGATCGACCTACCTACCTACCTACCTACCTATTCATTTCTCTTCTGCAGTGCTGAGGATGGAACCCACAGTCTCAGACGTTGATAGGAGAGCACTCAGCCGCCGAGGCTCAGCCTTTATTCTTAGCTCTTGAGGGAATTACCACGAGGTTGACTAAAGCAGCTACAGTGCATTGAATTCCCCCCCCCCCCCCCAGCAGCAGCCGAGCTGTCAGACTTCCTTACACCTTGAGAATACTTCTTACTATCTCATTCACTATTCAACACCGAGGGTGGCATCCTTAACCTGACTTTAGAGTCCTCCAGGTAAAAGCCCCAGGACAACACGTGTCCCAAGTCAACCACTTCACACAGTGATGGAGAAGGTATTGTGAATTCTTTTCATGTCAGCCCCCACCTACTAGCCATGTTGCCTCTGTGGACAGCAAAGATACCGTCTACACCGACACCTTACAGGGAGCAGGATGCTGACATATGGGCAGATCACCATGGGGGAAATTGTTTAAGCAATTTGATCTCGTTTCCTTAAGTCTAGAGCGGGGACAATTTGACTTACTTAGCAACAGACAAGGATGACAACAGCCGCAGCTGATGCCTCCCCATACACCGAACACTCACCCTATGGGGCGGTGACTACTGCTGCTCCCATTTCATGAATGAGAACAACTGAGGCTCATCCAGGGCTATAGACCAGTGTCTCAGCTAGCATCTGACAGGGTCCCATGGCTATGTGGTCTGTGAAGGTGACCAGCACTGCACAGAACTCTGCCTGGCCTGAGAGGAAGGGAGAGGCTGGGAAAGCAGGAATCTGTGTGGGGAGCAATGTCCTCCTCCACCTCTGCTAAGTGGGGGCGTCAGAGTCCTGGGAGGAGACCAGTTCAAGGAAGATGGGAGGAGAGAGAAGGACAGAAGACAGTGTGAGGAATTTGCGACGGGTGCTGGGGGTATAGCTCAGAGACAGAACAGGGCTGAACAGGCTTGAGGCCCTGGCTTCAACCCCTAGTCCCCTAAACCCCAACCCCAAGCCCAAACAGAATCTGTTTGTCCATTATTGTTTCCAGCTCAGGCTTTTTGCTCAGCTTTAGGCAAGGAAAAGACCAGGCAGGCCTGGGTCCCCAGGGAGACCAGGGAGGGACTTGCTGCGTTGGAAGCAATGTTCCTGTCCTGTTAGTAAAGAGCCTGTGGCTTACAGACCCTTCCCCTCAGTCCTGGCCCTGCCTGTGCTGAAGAAGGGGCAGATGGTGGCAGCAGAGCCGCTCTAGCTTCGACATATGAGAACAGCCTGGTAGGCGAGGGTGGGAAAAGGACAGGTGCGGGGTTTGAGTGGAGGCCTTGAGGACATATATCTTTGACGTGTCTAGGCCTTCCTCCCCCACACCTGACTATGAGCAGGCAGAGGGCTTGAAGGGAGGATTCCTATAGTCCAAGTCTACAGAGTTCTTTTGAGAGGCATCTATGCATTGCAGGGGTGAGGGTGGGCAGACGACAGGAACAGTCCGTCCCTGTTACTGCAGGTCCCCTGGTTACACCTCCCTGCATCTGGGTCAGTCTGGGTCAGCAGCTGTGGCAATCTTTGTTTTCCAGGCTTCCCGAAAGCCCAGACAGTGGAACATGGGGATAGTGTTCGAGTGTTCCCAGTGTGGTGGCTGTGTTGTTGAGCCCCGAGATATGACTAACAGTCTGACTGGATCCTGGGCTGGGCAGATTCGAGGCCAGTTCTAGAGTTCTCTGTTGGAGCTGGGTCGGAGTCTGGGATGAGAGACCAGCAGAAGTAATACAGGCTTAAGCAGTGGCTTCTGGGGGGACATGGGGTGAGCCCCATCATGGAGAGAGGGTAGATATGAGAGAAGGCTGGGGTTTGCAGAGCAGGCAGCTACTGGGGACAGTCCTGGATGTCTGGGCTGGGAGAGGCTGGGAGCACGTCAATAAAAGAATTAAAGGGAAGCAGGGGTGGCGAGGACCTGAAGTGGGCTTCCTGACATGGGCAGAGCCCCTCCTAACTTAGGGGTCCAATGAGGCTTCTCTCTCTCCTCTTCTTTCCCCTTTAAATCCATCTGCTCCCCCCCCACACCGCCTCCCGCCGGTGCCATTCCTAGACTTCCTGGTTGAAAGTCTACAATTGTGAAACCCGGGGAAAGGAGGAGATGTATAGTGGGGAGTCTGGCTGTCTGGCCACTTTATAAAAGACAGGTTTCACATTTGTGTGGAAAAACAATGTATCAGTTGGCGCTTGGCAGGGGAGCTAAGGAAAAACGCACAGCGGACGTCCACAGTGACCTGGAGCCAGCCTGAGAGCTGGGGTGGGAGCCTGTGTCTGCGGCTAATGTTAGGCACCGGTCACCTCAGGCTTCTATCCGTTCCCCCACTCCCTTAAAGTGTTGGGAGAGCCACAGCCCCACACCACAATTTGTTGGATGTATGAGAACATGCTTTGGGGACTAGGGGGATGCTGCTTTGAATCTCCATAGCCCATCACAGGCAGGACTGTGGAGAAGTCCTGCTGATGCTAAGGGACCATCTGTACTGTTTGGAGAGAGGAGCCAGAGCGTTTGTCTCTTTAGGGACCAAATTCTGCACTATGTTGGACCACTTCTTCCATCATGCCTGAGCTCCGACTTCTGAGAGAGAATCCTTGGGTTCCATTTCAGGAGAACAGACCAAGCCCACATCTCATGTGAAGTTCTCACAGGTATGAACCCCAACACTCACTGTATCATTTCTATGGGCACCCTGGCACATTAGTGCAGCCCATCTGACCACTCTTTTCTGGTCCATCCAGAGTGGCCTGAGGGGACAAGGACAGAGACAGTGATCTAACTCCAGCTTTGTCTAGCCTGTTGTCCCCTTCTTGGTCAGAAGCCAAGACTCTACCTACTGGGGGGTGGGGGCTCAGCACCCCCGGTTCAGACAGCTGGCCAATGCCTGCATACTTGAAGGTCAATTGAGTCCCTTCAGGAAGCCAGGATCTAGGGTACTCTACTATCTCCTCCGGCTACCTGGAGTAGGCCATCTCTGTCTCCAGGAAAACCCAACCCCCAGTCCAATGCCAGCGAGGAAGAAAATGAAACTTGGGGCACGAGGAGGCCAATGTGCTCCCTGGCTGTTGCTGTAGGGGGATTTGAGGACAGGTTAGGAAGCACTCACCGGCTAGGGATCCCACAGCTAGGATGGTCATGGTCAGTAGTGTCTTCATTGGCTCCCGCCAATGGCCCCTTTGGGCCTCGGCTCTGGACCCGGCAAGGAGGCTGGGCTCTGTGTGTGTGTGTGAAGTCTTGCCGCTTTGGCAGCTGACTCCGCCCGGCATAGGGCGGGGAGAGGAGAGCAGAGTGAGCTCTAGGCAGGGGTACAAAGGTGCCTAGCCTCGTGCTGAGGAATTCTAGGACCTGGGTGAGATCCAAGGGAGGTTCCCTTCTTGAGTGCAGAGGAGGCACCGGCAGCAGAAGGGCTTGTTTATCTGGTCTGATGACTGATTCATCCCAGGGCCCCTGGTGGTGTATCAGTGCGCTCAGAGGTGGGAAAGGCAAAGCCGAAGTGCGTTCTTATCAGACAGCAATCAAAGCCTGCCCCCGGTACATATCACTGCCCTAATAATTCCATTACAAGAGGATTTATCCTGAGGAAAAGACCAGGACAAATGAGGGGCCAAACCAGGGCATTCTCCTGTAATGGCTCCTTGGCTTGGTTCTGACCAAACAAGGAGGAAATGCAGGGAGCTTGATGCTCCTTTTCCTGCACCTATCCTGTCCCCTCAGGCTGAGCAGTGCACTTGGAACAGCCTCCTCCTGGCAGGGCTGCTGAGGTGGGAAGCCTAGGCAATCTTGAACTTGAATCTTGGATGAAGAATCTCTAAAAAGTAGGGGGAAATTGGAATGGAGATGACTCAGTGGGCTGTGTGTTTTCAAGCAAGCAGAAAGACCTGCGTTCAGACCCCACAACCTCAGTGACACAGGATGGACATGGGTGGACACGAAGGTCCAGTGTCTGTGGTCCCTACACTCCTCTGGGTGGATGGGGGACAGAGACAGGAGGATGTCTGGACACTGGAGGCCCAGATAGCCTGCGGATGCAGCAGTGGGCAACAAGAGATGCTGTTTCAAAGAAAACTGAGTGCAGATGCTGAGGCCGTCCTCCAGCCGCCACACGTATGTGCAGGCTCCCACTCGCACAGACATGCACGTGCACGCGCAGAGAAAAAACAATACTAGCACAGGGGATTCTTTCAGCTGCCTTGGAGAGGCCACGATCCGGCAGGACTATAAGCCTTTAGGTTGGGGCAGTGAAGACTGAAACGCCTGCCCCAGCTCTGCCACCACGAAGAGCGGTCCTGGACAGCAGTGTCCATGGAAATGAAGATGGATGTCGTGGTAACGAAGGTTTGCTCGAGTGGTTAGGAATGTTTGTCTCCTCTGGCTGGGCCCCAGTGATGATGGGAGATGTCTATTTGGACTACATTTAGGGTGCACATGATAAAGGACCCTGCCCTGTAGTACATTTGCCTGGTCCCGTTACCAACTGCCGACCGAGCGGGTCAAACACATCCACCTCACATGAGAATGCGATAAATTACGTTGAACTGTGCCCTCAGCCCTAGGATCGGGGTTTTAGATGGAATGGGCTCTGTTATATAGATTTGTGTTTTATTTTCTTTTCTTCTTTTCTTTTCTGAGACAGGGTTTCTCTGTGTAGCTTTGGAGCCTGTCCTGGTACTTGCTCTATAGACCAGACTGATTTTGATCTCACAGAGATCCACCTGCCTCTGCCTCGCAAGTACTGGGATTAAAGGTGTGCGCCACCACCACCTGGCTATTTTCTTTTCAGTGTTATAATTTAGCATTGAACCTCTGCTAAAGTTATCTAACCCAAGAGCCAGATGTCTATCATTTGTAGAAATTACATTCCTCAGATTTGGCAGCTTCCTCCTGATAGGCCGAGTTCATTGGGGGGGGGTTCCTGGAGGAATCAGGAATGTCCCGCTCACTGTGACCCCATTTGGGTGGCACCTCATCAGTGATTGAGTCTCTTCTGGGGGCATCCAACTTAGTTTTCCCCACTCTGTCACATGACTAGCCCTAGTACTGTCTTAATTTATTTTTTATGCTGTGATAACACCGTGGCTAAAAGCACCTCGGGAAAGAATTTATTTAGCTTACAGGTTACGATCCATCATTGAGGAAAGCTAAGGCAGGGATTCACACAGGCTGGGATTCTGGAGACAGAAGCTGACAGAGGCCATGGAGGAGGGCTGCTTATTGGCTTGCTCTTCATGCCTGGCTCAGCCTGTGTTGTTGGGAGCGGGGCCCCTTGTTTGTCCTGGCAGCTAGCTTACACCCAAAATAATCACACAGAAACTGTATTCATTTAAACACTGCCTGGCCCATTATCTCTATCCTCTTATTGGCTAGCTCTCACATATTAGTTTAACCCATCTCCATTAATGTATATCGCTACTTGACTGTGGCTTACCGGCATGAATCTAACCAACAACTGTTTCAGGCAGAAGAACCATGTGTCTGCCACACTGCCCTTCTTCCCAGCATACAGTTCTGTCTGCCCCACCTACCTATGTTTTGCCCTATCAGGCCAAGCAGTTTCTTTATTCAACCAATGAAAGCAACACATAGACAGAAGGACCTCCTACACCAAGCCTGCTTTGCTATAGAACCCAGGACCACCCTGCTGTCCAGGAGTGGCACTGCCCACTGTGAGCGGGACCCTCTCATACCAACTATTAATGAAGAAACTGTTCTTCAGGACAGTCTGATGGAGCTATTTCTCGCTAGAGGGTCCCTCTTCTCAAAGGACCCTACTTTATGTCAAGTTGACAAAAACAAGCAACAGATACAAACCCAAAATCACAAAACCAAAAAGCAGCTGAGCAGCACAGGCATCACAGTCCCTGCCGTCTTCCCTGTCCACGGAAGTCTGGAATAGCAGCACCCTTCTGTGGGGACGCTGGCTGCTTCCCAGTTATGACTGGGCCCACATCCTCCTGCTCCTTGAGTACCAATTCTTTTGTAGTAAAGTCCCTTGGAAATGGGCCCTGGTTGTAAAGGGGGCTCTAATGACTTTAGGGACAAGCTGGAGCGGGAAGACTACACCAAGAGAGCTGGGTTACAAAGAACCAAGAAGAGATACATGGTGAGAGGAGACAGTGGTGGAACAAGGTGACTAATCAAGAGGAGAAGCTGCAGCTACACCAGTTCTGTGGATAGGAAGACTTTCCTTGGGGTTCCTGGGCACAGGAAAGGAAGGAGCCTTGTGGTGGGCTATTTGTCCACTGTGTACAGATCTATTGTTGTGATTGGTGTAATAACAAGCTGAACGGTCAATAGCTAGGCAGGAGGTATAGATGGGACTTCCGGACAGAGAGAGAACTCTGGGAGAAGAAAGACAGTCGCGAGTCAGATGTGAAGAAAGCGGGATGGACCGCATGGCGATGAGGTAACGAGCCTCATGAAAGAACATAGATTTAACAACATGGGTTAATTTAAGTTGTAAGACCTAGTTAGGAGCCAACGTCAGCTAAGGCCAAACTTCCATGATTAATAATAAGTCTCCATGTCATCATTTGTGGGCTGTCAGTCCTGACGAGAAAGTTCTACTGCAGAACCTGACGAGGTCCTCTATCTGTGACTGTCTAGGTCCTCACAGGAATGGAGGGGACGCGTCCTAGCTGGCATCAGCTGTGGGCTTGTCACAGCCTAGAATCATCTGAGGGTGTTGACATTGAAGGATGGCTCAGATCAGATTGGCCTGCAGCCATGTCTGTGAGAGATTGTTTTGGTTGATGATTGAGAGAGGAGAGCCCAGCCCACTGTGGGCGGTGCCTTCCTAGGCAAGTGGGCCTGGACTGCGCGAGAAGGCTTGCTGAGCATGAGCCAGAGAGCAAGGCAGTACTTAGCACTCGGTCTGGACTTCAGTGATGGACTGGGACCTGGAGGTAAGCCGACATAAGTGCTTTCTTCCCCAGGCTGTTTTTGGTCATCGTGTTCATCACAGCAGCAGAAGGCAAACTAGAAGAGAAAATAAGATGCTCGAGAATCTGGGCTGCCACAATGACTCTGCAGGGAAAGGCATTTGCTGCCTAGCCAAACACCCTGAGTAGGATCCCCAGGACTTACGGGGGGAAGGGAAGAACCCACCTACAGAAGTTGTCGACTGAACTCCACACTCAGGTACCGCGTCACACACAGCCCCCACAAGCAAACAAATAATGTAATCTAAAAATAAATAGGATGCATCACTTTGTGTGTATGTGAGAGAGAAAGAGATATAGGAAAAGACAGAGCCGGGCGGTGGTGGTGCACGCCTTTAATCCCAGCACTCGGGAGGCAGAGGCAGGCGGATCTCTGGGAGTTCGAGGCCAGCCTGGTCTACAAGAGCTAGTTCCAGGACAGGAACCAAAAAAGCTACAGAGAAACCCTGTCTCAAAAATTCAAAAAAAAAAAAAAAAAAAAAGAAAAGAAAAAAGACAAGAAAAGACAGAGACAGAAACACACAGAGACCCAGAGACCCAGACAGAGACATAAATCACACATACAGACAGACAGACAGACACACACACACACAGAGAGAGAGAGAGAGAGAGAGAGAGAGAGAGAGAGAGAGAGAGAGAGAAGAATCCCACAAGACACAAGAGCAAGAGGATGCTCTACGTCTCTGGCTTTGGTTAAATGAATAACAATGTTTCCATCTAAAGTAAAACGTGGTGGTTAATCCTGAGCGTCAGCTTCATTGGATTTAGATGCACTCTAATGGCTGAATAGGAATGGCCCCCACAGTCTCATCTATTTGAATGCTTAGTCACTAGGGAGTGGAACTCTTTGATAGGATTAGAAGGTTAAGGAGGTGTGGCATTGTTGGAGGAAGTGGAAACCACCACTGGGGGTGGTCGGTTTTGAGCTTTCACGCCAGGCCCAGACCCCCCCATATTCATTCTCTAGCTTTCTCTCTCCTTCTCTCTCCCTCTCTGCCTCCCTCTCTCTCCCTTTCTCCCCCTCTCCCTCCCTTCTCTCTCTCTCTCTCCCTCTCTCCCTCTTTCTCTCTCTCTCCCTCTCTTCCTCCTTCTCTCTCCCTCCTCTCTCTTCCCCCTCTCTTCCTCCTTCTCTCTCTCTCCCCTCTCCCTTCTTCTCTTTCTCCCCCTCTCTCTCCCCTCTCTCTCCCCCCCTCTCTCTCCCTCCTCTCCCTCTCTTCCTCTCTCTCTCTCCCTCCCTCTCTCCCTCTTTCTCTCTCCCCCTCTCTCCCCCCTCTCTCCCTCCTCTCCCTCTCTTCCTCCCCCCCTCTCCCTCCTTCTCTCCCTC